AGACAGGAGAAAAAAACCCTCTCCTCTCCCCTATTTAAATGCGAAAGGATGTGTGGCGGGATGTGGCCTGGCTAATGGGATGCGCTTATCCGATGGAACATTGCTTGGCTAGCGGGATGTGGCCTAGGTGGGGCCCACCACTACCGCAACCTAGGTGCAGGAAACAAGGCATAGCCGCATGCAAATGACCCTTCGCCTTCCTAGGAAAGGTTTGGAGGGGCCCACCAATGGAATCTCCATTGAGAAGAAGCCAGCCGATCACCCAAGTCGATCGAACGGCTCGAGCGGCTGCCGAGAAATGGGTAAGGAGCAGTGGGATGCCCCATGTAGGTTATGCCAACTCCGTCTCGAATGACGGACCCGGATTCCACTTGAATATATCCGATAGGAGCTCCCTGAACCCGTCACTCCAACCATCGAGGTAAATTTACCAACCCCATTTTACTTTTCTAGTGCATGAGCATTCATTCATCCATTCTCATGCATGCATTCATACATTCAGCCATATATTCATCCATACATTCATCCTATACATCCAAGCATTGCATATGCAATTGTTGCATCACAACGCTTCGCGTCGTGTCACGAAGCGGTAGTCGTCTCATTCGATATGAGCGGTGACCGACCGGGGTTTGAAGGACGGCCCGCAAAGGGCTCGAGGCTGCCTCGTGTCAAACAGAGCTAGGGGATAAAACGCAGATGAGCCCCAGTGGCCCTCACCCGATCCGCTCAAAAGCAAACAGGGTCATCTCGACCTTCTCGTTCGATCCTGACCTCGAGCCATGCCCATAGAATCTCCATCGAGGGGAGGCCAGCAGGCCACCTGAGTTGGTCTCTGAAACGGCTTTGGCATCTACTGGGAGGTGGGTTAAGGAGTAGTGGAATGCCATATGAGGGCTATGCCGACCCTGTTACAAACAACGGACCCAGATTCCACTCGGACTTGCCCATTAGTGAGCTCATTGAGTGCGTCACTCGAGGCATTGAGGCAAGCGACATTAGCTCAACTCCTTCGGTTGTAGAAACTGTGGATGGGGTGACGCACGAAACTCGATCGACCCCTACCGAGCCCAATTGGGCTTGGGGGCTTAGGCCACCTGACCCTGACTCAGGAATCCAATCGATCGCGCAGGTCACGGGTGGGACAAACACGGGTGATCACCCCGACCGGCAGAAACACAGGAGTCTACGGCCCTAGAAAAGAGTACTAAGGTTCTCAGCCTCTAACCGACTCAGCAGTCGGCTACAGGCTCGGAGGCTACACCCACTGGATGCGCTTGCGCGCACCCGGCAGAAGACGGACTACCGACGAGTTCCTCCCCCATTGGGGGCTGGGCGCCTATGTCTACTCGGCGCACCTCTGCGGCCTTCACCGGTCCCCTCATCAGGGGCTGGGTGCCAATATCCCCCCGGCGCGTCTCCGAGGCCTTCGCCAGTCCTCCCCGTGGAGGTGGGGCGCCTAAATCCTACTTGGTTACCCTACGCGGTACAACAAACCAAGGGGGAAAACGTCGAAGTTCCAATAAACAGCCCGCCTCCACGGCGCAATAGGCACAGGAATTATAAAGCAAATACAAGCTTTCATTAAGCCAAAGACACAAGCCCCAGACTTTTACAATAACACGCAAAGTGTGTGTGAACATCCCCGGGACTGCTCCGCACCTTGGGGCATGAAGCGGAACAAGGGAGCCAACATCCTTGTTCTCCTGCTACAATGCTCTCCTCCCTCTCTCCGTCCTCTGATCCAAAATCCAGGACAAGGGTCCGTTCGAGACGTACGATGCTCTCTTCTTATCAAAGATCTTCTAGCATCGTACTCCCATACACCCTCAAAAGCGGCAACTCAACAGCCCCTTCACGGCTTCACAGAAGCTCTAAAGGGGCTCGGGGGCTCCTGTCGGGTTCATAAACTTGAGGTCCCCAATGGACCCGCTTCCCTACAATACTTGGCCTAGCTGGCGGTGCAGCGACAGCGCGCGTCTGGGCCGGTCCAAATACACAATGATAGGCCGAGACCATGATCTGGTTCTCGACCAGCACCTCTCGGCCAGGAGACCTGGTCGGAGCCCCGATCGGAAGGCCTGGCTGAGGTGGGACCGCAGTTCGACTCCGATCCCGTTCCTCCGACCGAGGATGTGCCAGACCTTTGCTCGCCTCTCTTTCCTAACCGACACGGTCGGGGCTGACTAGGAAAGACCAACCAGGACGCCTGCTCGGTGAGGGCTCGGGGAGCAAGCGAAATAGATAAGGTAAGGCGCTTAAGTCAACCACAATACCGAGGACCATACCCTGCTACGCCCTGCGCACCTACAGGACAGTGCCGTCAGGCCATGTTAGACGAACACTATACAGCCTGCCAGACGCGACAGAGCACAAACAGTATTGTGGGCGCCGTCATTTGTCGTCCTAGGTGAACACTGTGCAGCCTACCAAGTCATGAACAGTAAGGTGTACGAACACTGTGCACCCTGCCAGGTACAGCAGGTCATGAATAGTAAGATGGGCGATGCCGTGCCGTACCTGACGATGTAGGCAACAAGACTAGGTAGCACCCATACATACTCTCTCTCTTTCCGTCTTTAACTTCTAAGGCCACCCCCTTCATCTATAAAATAGGATGCGCTCTCTCCTCTGAGGACACAACTCAATAGCTCTAGAGCTCGACAGCTACATAGTCTACATGCTCTCAACAGCTGATAAGCTCGGACACACAGAGCATACGCTCAAATACTTAACGCACGTTTGAGCATCTGTCACTCTCTTTCACTCGGTTCAGAGTCCGACCGGGCCTCTAACACTCCCTTCCTATTGCTTATTCGTTTGTAACTCCACAGTAAACTTCGAGCACCTGGGCTCAGAAATAAAATCACCGACCGACTGAAACTGGATGTAGGGCACGTTGCTTGAACCAGTATAAATCTTATGTCATCGCGTGCTATGCCACATCCGATCATAGCGCACGACAAAACTACAAATATTTACTTGTTGATCACATTTCGCACCGGCACGACCTAAATCTGATGTGGCACCCTCTGCATCCTATTTGCGTCGTCTTATTATACTTGCCCTTACCGACTTCGTTGATCATGTCAACCCGAAGTAATTTTTCTGTAGCAGTGACAGGCCACAATAGGCAACAGCACTACCAATTAGGCCCCTACTACCAATCAACAATCGGCAATTAGGCCGTATCGTGGATTATTTAACTCGGATTGGTTTGGTGTGAATCAACAATGTCAAATCCACGGACCGATCATTTACGAGCAAGCGAACAGGCTGAATGTCAAATCCACGGACCGCTAGTGGGCTAATGCAGGGCAGGCATCCCTTAAACGAAGAGACTGGTACAGCAAAGTAGCACTGTAGCAGTCGTGGTGTGCAGTTGAGCCGTGCACGGTGGGCCAGTGGTCCGTGCGGGGATGTGGAGCTCCTAAATGGCGACATTCTTTTTTTTCCCCAAAGAGTAGCGTCCGGACGTCTGGACGGTTGCGCGCGTCCGGATGCCACGCCTGCTCCGCCCTAGTTGCGCCCGCACCAGCTCCGCTTCCCTTGCTCACATTCGGACCGCTCCCTTCCGCTCCACTGCCCACGTTGCCTGGATGACTCGGTCATGTCTCTTTTCATATCGGTGCCTTGCCCGCCTCTTCCACACCACTTCGCGCCTGCCTCTTCCACGCCGCTCGGATGACTCCCTCGCCTCTTCCACACTGGCGCCGCATGGCCTACGTCTCGTCCCCATATCGACGCCGCCATGGCTCCCGCGCTAGCTCTCTTCCTCGCTCAATAACTCTACATCTAGATCTACTTTTACAACGCTCAGATAAAATAATTGTAACATACGTCTGAAACAGATGAAACATTTAGAATATACATTTGCAACATAGTCATTGCAACATATGCAACATCTAGATAAAACACTTGCAACATGCGTTGAAACAGATAAGACATCTTGAACATACTCTTGCATCATACGTCTATAACCATTGCAACATGTGCAACATCCAAGAACTACCATTGCAACATCCATATGAAACACATGAAACATACCTCTGAAATGTCTGAAACACTTGAAACATACTGAAACATGCGCTTTGCAACTTTGGGGCGCCAGGGCCGGTCGATTCCAAACATCAGGGTGGGAGCCGGCAGCGAGCGGCGGCACGCGAGCACCACCATCACAGCACCACTAGCACCGGCCTTGGCTCAGCCGGGCAGGCGGCACGCACGACGGGTGGGAGCAGGCTGCGCGTGTGACGGGAGGCAGATTGGGCGGCAGTAGCGAGCGCGAGTGGGGTGGGGGCGCGCAGCGTGGATGGATGACGCGGGTTTATGCACGCGGCAGAGGTGAGCGGCGCGGGTGGGTTTGTCGATCCGTCTGTGGCATACCATTATCGTTTTTTTAAACAAAATGGCTAGATTCCAGTTTGGTTGCAGGTTTCCAATGACGACTTTGCGTTTTCTATGTGTTCTATGCACCTGAACTTCTTGATCAATCCTGTGTATGATCAGCTACATCAATGGGACCTGTCAAAAAGCTTGTTAACAAAATGTAGCCCGCAATTTACCCGTATACACGTCAATATGCATGTAAAATTGTTGGGATGTAATCATACCAATTATCCAAACAATAGTTGGAAAAAACAGAATCAGGGTAGTCTGTAAGATTGCCTTGCCCGTCCATAAAGGAAGGGTTACAGCATGACTATCACATCTCTTGCATCTGATAGCAATCACTACGATCCGCAAATTAGCGAGTATACATCAGATGGTGGTTTGATGCAATGCACGGAACTTCAAACAGAATTGCGATCAAAGGACGGCGGAGACACCATTGCATTCCGTTGTTCCACGTACAAGCTCAACTCAATATACAGTTAGGACTTCATGCAACCGCGATAAAAAGGTTGTGCTGTGCCTGGAGTTCATTGGGCCCCAAGCTGGAAGCTGAAAATATTTTCTTGGCAGCTCCGCCTAGGCCATGCCACAAAAATGGTTTCCAGCTAACGGTCTCCACCATTGATAATTAGTGAGGGGTAAGGCACCTTCTTTATATCCACAAATGTTGAATACTCGGAGCTAAGTGGTTGCTTCCATGGCTCCCCATCCATTTGCATGAACGCGTCCCGCCAATACCCACCTTTGATCTCTATCCGTATTGCCGCTGCCTGAACATGGAATAGTAGCACCAAATTATGGGGTGCTTCTGAAAGAAGTAATAAGTACTCTTTCTACAGTTTATAGAACACTCTTTTTTTTTCGTTTCATTTTGCAATCGGCCAGACGGCCACTAGGCGTCTAGGCCACAAAAGAAAATAAAAGTTTAACTCCAGTGTGATCTACTTTCATTCTTATTGAACTTAAAATTATAATCTAGTTCACAATCGAATACATGTTTATTCACAGTTTTGCTTTAATGGTTTTAGTGAAACTGAACCTCTATCAAAAAGAAAATGACCAAATAGCAGGTTATCTCTTGTCCTACCAAATAGTATTGTATTGCATATGATGGGAAACTACTACTAATAGTGAGATTCGCTTGATGGCATTGCATACTTTTTCCAAATAAACAATAGTCTCGAGTAACCACTCGATCAACTGTGGAGGGAGCAAGTTACCTGAGCTATATGCTTGGCAGATATAAGTTCAACCATCACGAGAGATGCATGCCACCCTTGCTTCAATCCAAATATTTCAAGAAGACCATCATCTGATTGGGCTTCAACAAATCCTCTCTATTGGCATAAATGAGTTTATCAGGAGACAATGTTAATGCAATTGAGGTGATGAATGGTCACAGAAATTTACTCAACACACTTTCTCCAAATATTCAGGCTTCAAATTTCCCCATGGGTTCCTTCCACTTGCATAATTGTGAAGGTTTAATGCAACAATAGCCCTCACACTGCATCATAGATTGTCAGATGAAATTGATTTCACATTCTATATGCGGAAGCATGATCCCTAGCTATCCAAAAACAGAGAAATTGTGAGCTTGCCTCGATGGTACAGGAATGTTCTCCCACTCAGAGCTGTCCATCCTCTTGATTGATAAACAGAGAACGTTCCTCAATCCCCTGACATATTATAGAAAGAAAAAACTGAGATATCCCATACAGGGCTCTGCTACACTGGGTTTGACAAATCAGTACAACCCTGGTGATTTACTTCTCAAGGGCGTACCCAGTGCAGAGAGCTCCCGCTCTGTGCGGGGTCTGGGGAAGGATGTTAGTGGCAAGCCTTACCCTCGCCTGTGCAATGCGAGGAGGCCGCGACTCAAACCCGGGACCTTCCGGTCATAGGCGGTAAGACTCTACCGCTTGCACCAGGCCCGCCCTTCTGGTGATTTACTTCTGATAAAAGGATTTTTTTTAACTACAAAGTGTAAAAGCAAGCAGTCTACCATATATAGTGAACATTTTGGATTCCTGGATGAGTTGGATCCATATTATATTGAATAGAACAAAAAAAAAAACAGATGCAGAAAGTCTTAAGAACTAACAAATGTACAACTAGAATTCAGAAGGAAACTGAAAGCCTATGTTATTGGACATCTAAACTAAAGACTCAACTAAATCCGCTATTGCCAAAAACTGAAATATTATCTGATTACTGGATTTTGGTGTAATAAACTAATACAATCATGTTTTTAGAGAATTTTGTCCAAATTACATCACATGCTACTGTTTGCAAGAAAACCCATTTGTATATTTCAAATGGGAAAATTCCAACCTTCAACTATAGCCAGAGTCCAAATACAAACCTGCAACTCTGAAACAATCAAAAACATTAATCCTTAACTATCAAACTTCTTAAAAATGACCCTTATCGATGTTTGGACTTAGGGCATAGTTGAAGGATAAAGTCAGCACATATTATTAATAGTGTTTTTTTTTAAAAGATGACAATATTAAAGTTATCACTTGACCAGGGGAGGTATCACTCATGTAGGTATCTGTAAAATGTACGATTCATTACCCCAAAATAAAAGCAGCTACCATACCTTAATTCAGGGTCACTAATACATTGCGTAAAGAACCATCCTTGCTTGCAGGTATATCCTGCGTAAATTAACTGTCACAAAATCAGCCAATCAGTAATTTAGTTAGAAATGCTCACTCTAAAAGTTTTTCAAAATATAGATCACATAGTAAGCATCACATTAGTCACACAATAGAGCCTAGTTTTGTTTGTTCACAGTGCAAATATGTATTATTTCAATGCAACTGCACCATGCTGTTCTTTATCTGTTTTAATTCCTGTTTTTTTCTCGAATACGCAGGAGAGCAGCGCCTCATTATATTAAGAAGAGAATAAAGGGCAAGAGCCCAACACACACACACACACACGCACTCACGCCCCAACAGTTTCAAGGATTACATTCGTGCCCATGACAAAACCACACAAGGTGACCACTACTAAGCTAGACACTCTAACTACCAGGGAGGAGGGCAGTCAAAAATGATAGCCCTCGAGCCCCTGCCATAGACCACAAGCGGCGCTCCTCGCCGGCAATGATCAAAGCACCAGCTAAGTTTGGAGCTGCTCCATCAAAAACACACCCATTGCGATGGTTCCATATAGTCCAAGCTCCGAGTATAATTAGCAAATTAACTCCTTGCCTCATCAACCCATCAACGGTGCTGCTACTAGCTTTCTCCCACCAAGCATGGAAGGACAACTCTGTAGGCTGAGGGGACAGGAAATTAATTCCTGTTATCAAGTTGATGTCATTCTTTTAGTTTCATGTTTCTACCTTGACCAACAGCAAACTAAAAGGATTATCCACCGACAAGGCATGCTTCAATTCACACAGTGAAACCAGAAATTGTAAAATCATCAATGCTCTAGTTAGAAAATTTGTAGTGCTTAAGGTGCAAGTTCAGGTTTATTTTAAGCTACAGGAAAAAGGTGATATTCTCAACTCCATTTCTTAATCATTATTTCTAGAAGTTATTTATATAAGAGAGAGGTAAGAGACGTGGCCTTGATGAGAGAAATCATCAACTAATTGGACCTATACATATTAATGAGTATACTACACTTAAAAATTCATATCATTACCTTTGTTTTGCAGATAATTAACTGCGTGTTAACAGCTTGCAAAACACAGCTGAAGAAAATGGTGATTCTATCCTTTTGGATTACCCAAAGGAAAACTATAACTTAAGATGAGTAGTGCATATGTTATTGAAATTGATTTTCCCTTTCTTAAAAATGGTAGCATCATTGTTAGTTGACCAATGAAACCTCCTCTACATTGACCGCAGATATCCTTTACATTTTTTTTCCTCGAACACACAGAAGAGCTGCATATCATTATATTAAGAGAAAAATGGGTTAGAACCCTGAGTAGACACACGACACACTACACCCATCATTCTCAGATTACAATCGCGCCTGTGATAAAATAACTACATGACTACCTGAGCCTAAATTGGATCTAAGGTCATCAACAAAGACACAGCCGGCTCCAGCCATACGCCACATATATCATGTACATACTGACCCATTCTTAAGTTAACATTACAAGCATATATTGAACAGTTTTCATTTGTCATAAATGATTCGTAATAAACTATAAAACTTGAATGACCAATATTAGGGTTTAAGGTGATGAACTGCTGGGTTATCATAAATGTAGCCATGTAGGGAAGAGCATCCATAAGTTACTTACCTTATTGGATAAAGGTCCATTTGCAAGAAACGGTTTCTCATCACGTAATTGGTGAAAACCATAAGCCACTTGTGCATCCATTCCTGCAATACAAGAGAAGGGTATTTCAAGACCAGTCCTTACGACACTTATTATGTAATGTAAAGATTAGAAATAACAGGTGGTAACAAGTAACGACAAACACAATTGTTTTATAGGACGGCGGTTAGACCTGCTATATTGTATGGTGCAGAATGTTGGCCTACGAAAAGACGACATGTTCAACAGATAAGTGTCGCGGAAATGCGTATGTTGCATTGGATTTGCGGTCATACAAGAAGGGATCAAGTTCGGAACAATGATATACGTGATAAATTAGGGGTAGCACCAATTGAAGAAAAGCTTGTCCAACACCGGTTGAGATGGTTTGGACATGTCCAACGAAGACCTCCAGAGGCACCGGTGCGTAGTGGATCCTAAGCCAGGATAGTAACGTGAAGAGAGGCAAAGGAAGACCGAAGTTGACTTGGGTAGAGGCAATAAAAGGAGACTTGAAAGGATGGAATATACCCAAAGACTTAGCCTTAGATAGGAGTGCTTGGAAAACAACTATTCACGTGCCTGAACCTTGATTGCTTCTGCTGGGTTTCAACTCTAGCCTACCCCAACTTGTTTATGACTTAAAGGCTTTGTTGTTGTTGTTGTTGTTGTGGATATGAATAGGAAAGTGAACTCCTGAAAGAATATTCATCTCATTGTCTCCAGGGTAGTATTGAGAATGAGTTATTACCTTCCTCTACTATAGAAACCTAAAATTAAGAAAGTACAACAAAGGCTCACCTGCAGATATACAATTATACACCAGAAAAGAAAAGTAGGAAGTTACCCAAGGTTTATTTATTTATGTATGTATTGAGAACACACCCAAGAAGATTATACATGTTTGGAACAGTTTGTGACCAAGTTGTTTGCTGAACTTTTTTTTTTGAAAGTAGTTGTTTGCTGAACTACGAAGGAAAGGATTTTGAAACCCTTCCACTTGATATGATCCTCACACTAAGCCCCTTGCTGCACTCTTTGGATGGGCTCTCCCTGAGGCAGAGTCTGCTGCAGAACTAGTGGGGTGTAGTGTTTGAGAGGTCCTCTGGGTCGTTCTTGTTTTAGTATCACTATGGATCCTGCACACATCGGAATGTAAGGGGTTTAAACTCAGTAGCGAGACAGGATGCAGTCAGAATGGTGGTGGATGCCTCCAAAATTGATGTTGTATGCCTACAAGAAACTAAATTGAGTACTGTGTCCAGAAGTTTGATACTGACTATGTTGGGAAGTGAATTTGATAATAACTTCATTTGCTTACCCTCAGAGGGAGCCAGTGGTGGAATTTGAATTGCTTGGTAGATTGGACTGGGCACTGTTGGAGCTACCAGGGTGGATACTCACAGTGTCTCGGTCCAATTTTGCCCATCAAATGGTAGTGCGTGGTGGTTGACCTGTGTTTATGGGCCACAACAAAATCAAGATAAGATCCAGTTTCTCCAGGAGCTGAGAGATGTAAGAGCACAGTGCTCTGGGCCTTGGCTGGTGCTTGGGGACTTCAACCTCATCTATAAGGATGAGGACAAAAACAACTCCAACCTTAACAGAGCAATGATGGGAAGGTTCAGAAGGTGGACCAATGATATGGAGGTCACTGAAATTACTCTCCATGGTCGTAAATATACATGGACCAGTTCCTTCACTAATGCTTCCCCAACGTTGGTTAGGCTGGATAGAATGTTTTGCTCGCTGGATTGGGAGGAGCAGTTTCCAGGTTGTCTCCTTCAGAGTGCTGCTTCTATTGATTCAGATCACTGCCCCCTGATTCTTGGGCTGCAGGACAGTATCGACAGCAAGAAAAGATTTCATTTTGAAGCTTTCTGGCCCTCTCTAGATGGATTCCTGGATGCTGTGAGGGACACATGAGAGGGTGTACAACCCAGTCAATGCCCTCTAGAAACCTCATCATTAAAACTCAAGGCAACAGCCAGAGGATTACAGAGCTGGAGTCAGACGAAGTTTGGGCACATCAAATCTCAGTTGCTGTTGGCAAAAGAAATTATCCACCAGTTTGAAATTGCACAAGAAAGCAGGCCTCTTAAACCAAATGAATTATGGCTGCGTAATAATCTCAAGAAACACTCTCTGGCTCTAGCATCACTGTTGAGAACAATAGCCAGACTCAGATCCAGAATAGGCTGGCTAAAGGAAGGTGATGCCAACACAAGGCTTTTTCATCAGCATGCAAGATATAGGAAAAAGAATAATTTTATTGCCAAACTTCATGAAGGAGATCAGGTCATCACAAAACATGAAGAGAAGGCGGCTACTGTTCTGGATTTTTATGATAATCTGATTGGGGCAGAGTGTGCTAGGGAAAGAACTATCAACTTGGACTTCCTTGACAGCCCATACTTTGAGCTGGAAGCTTTGGATATGCCTTTCTCAGAAGAAGAAGCTTGGAACACCATAAAGGAGTTGCCTTCTGATAAGGCTCCTGGCCCTGATGGGTTCACTGGCAAGTTCTACAAGAGTTGTTGGTCAGTTATCAAGAATGATGTGATGGCAGCACTCCACTCTGTATGGAGTAGGAATTTTAGAAGTCTCTGGAAACTCAATTCTGCCTACATTACACTGATCCCAAAATAGCCAAATGCTGATCAAGTCAAGGATTTTAGGCCCATTAGCTTGGTACACAGCTTCGCCAAACTAGTGACCAAAATCCTGGCTAATAGACTTGCAGGTCGGCTAGATGAGATGGTGTCCCCCAATCAGAGTGCTTTCATCAAAAAAAGGTTCATTCAAGATAATTTCATGATGGTCCAGCAGACAGTAAAATTCTTGCATTCCCAAAAGCAGCCCAGAATACTCCTCAAGCTAGACATCACCAAAGCTTTTGACTCAGTGTCTTGGGCTTTCTTATTGGAGGTTCTTAGAAAGCCAGGATTTTGTTCTCGCTGGTGTGACCTTATATGTGGTCTCTTAACAACTTCTTCCACCCAGGTCCTCCTCAATGGCATCCCAGGAGAAAGCATAAAGCACAGAAGGGGACTGAGACAGGGAGACCCTCTATCTCCTATGCTCCTTATCCTGGTTATGGATGTGTTAAATTGGATGTTCATGAGGGCTGCTGAAGCTGGACTGCTACAGCCCTTATCCAGGAGACCAATCCAGCACAGAATCTCTTTATATGCTAATGATGTAGCCCTTTTCCTCCAGCCTATTGCAGCAGATATTAATCTGTCATTACGACTATTGCAATTATTTGGGGAAGCATCAGGCCTCAAGACCAATGTTCAAAAAAGTAATGTGCTGCCTATCCAGTGTTCTGAGGAAAACCTGGCTCTGATTCAGAATTTATTGCCCTGCGAAGTGCTGGATTTTCCTTGCAAATATTTGGGCTTGCCTTTGACCATCAAAAAGTTGACCGAGGAGCAGGTCCAACCCATAATTGACAGCAGATCGGCTACCTGGATGGAAGGCGGATCTGATGACACGTGCTGGAAGAGTAATTCAAGTGCAATTTGTTCTCACAGGAATCCTAATCTATGTGGCCATGGCAACAGATCTTCCACCTTGGGCTATCAAAGCCATAGATAAGATCAGAAGGGCATTCCTGTGGAAGGGTCAAAAAGAGGCAAAAGGTGGTCATTGCCTCATTGCCTGGCCTAAAGTGTGCCGCTCCAGGGAACTGGGTGGTCTTGGGATAGCAGATCTAAAGTCCCTGGGTATTGCCTTAAAAGCAAGATGGCCATGGCTTAAGCGGAGTGCGCCCAACAAACCTTGGGCAAATCTGCCTATCCAAGTCAGTAAAGAGGTAGCTGGCCTCATCTCTGTGGCAGTGATAACAGAAGTAGGAAGCAGATCTAATACGCTTTTCTGGAAGGATAAATGGCTGGATGGCAAGGGAATTCAGGACACAGCACCTCTGGTTTTCGCACTGGTACCCCAAAGAAGATCAAACAAACGCACTGTGCTGGAGGCCCTCACTGAGGAGAAATGGACAGAGGATATACAAGGAGAAATCTGTATGACAGCCTTGAATCAGTACCTAAACCTTTGGGATGTCATGAATTCTGTGGAGTTGAATGAGAATATTCCTGATAAGCACATCTGGAGGCTATCTTCATCGGGTAAATATACAGCAAAAAGTGCTTATGATACCCTATTTCCGGGAGCAATCTTCTTTGAACCTTATGAGAGAATCTAGAAATCCTGGGCACCCCCCAAATGCAGATTTTTTATGTGGTTAGTTGCTCACAACAGATGCTGGACGGCGGACAGATTGGCAAGGAGGGGCTCCCTCATCCAGAACAGTGCGTACTTTGCGATCAACAGGAGGAAACTATTCATCATTTGCTTGTGGGCTGTGTTTTCTCAAGAGACTTTTGGTTCTCCCTCCTGCTGCATTTTGGATTTGCATCACTTGCTCCACAACCTACTGACCAATCCTTTGATGAATGGTGGAGAAAAGTTGATAATTCGGCTAGTGGAGATTTGAGGAAGGGTCTGAACTCTCTAGTCATTTTGGGAGCCTGGAGCATCTGGCGGCACAGAAATGAGTGTGTCTTCAATGGTGCAGCACCAAATGTTAATATGGTGCTGGCTTTGGCAAGGGAAGAGGCCCATTGGTAGAGCCTGGTAGGAGCTAAGGGGATCTCCCTGCTCACTACCAAAGGAGCAGTCTAATGGACTGCTGTAGCGGTCGGGTCATCATTTTATTTTTTAAACCGGCGATTTAGTTTCCTTGTAGTAGTGGGTGTTTGTGTGTGTGGGTCTGGGTCTATGTATGACTCTCTCTTCTTCTATTAATACAATGATACGCAGCTCTCCTGTGTGTTCGAGAAAAAAAAATATGACACATACACAACATAGGAAGGTTCAAAAAGGGATCAAACGGAATAAAGATTATTTTTACCTATAATATAATAATAACTGCACCAATGATTTTCGTAATTTTTTTTTGAATAATTCAAAGATTGAGGCCCAGTTTGTTTGGGCTTCTGCCAGCAACTGGGAAAAGATTGCTTCTCACATCATAAAAGCTATAAAAAATAGTTCCTTTTTGAGGAATCAGTTTTAAAAACTACTTGCTTTTAAAGTAAATTGCCACCATTTGAAACTTTATTCTCCAAAAAAATCATTTTGTATTGATTTCTACTGGTTTGAAATTCATGCAGAAGCCATTTCTGGAAAAGCCACAGCTGAAACAAAGTGGGCCTAAGGAGGTGCTAACAAACATGTTGAATAATGTATAGGTTGAAACAGGAAATTACCTATGCTGAAGTAATTATAGAAGACACCATCAAAGCAGGAAACTGTTTCAGGCAACTCTCCCTTAGCAGTGCCATCCTGCAGGAAAGAAAGACTTCCATTACTATTAGTTCTACCATCAGGCATAACAGTGACAACCCAAGATGATAGTCTAGAGGCATTGACACATTACATCATAAAATGTACACTCTCCAAGACGCCTAAGTGAGTGAGGGAGGTCCAAATCTTCCTTTTCTTCTTCTCTATGTTCAGGCATAGAAACAACAACATGCCAACTGCACAATGAAACATAATATGAGGCATTGGAAGTGGTGAAATAGGTGCACAAATCTTACCTATAGAAGGAACTCGATCATAAAGAAATTATGTCAGTACAGTTGGTGCAAAAATAAAAAATAATTTTATAATAACAGTGGGAATAACATTAATTAACAAGCTAAATGAAAAGCTACACAAATTGCAACTTTGCAAGAGGGATAGTGGGCCATCTTTATATACAAAAGATCATCTAAAGGCTTAAACATGGGCGTGAAAACTTCTAGGATAGCAATCATGTCTGCTGATTTAATCACAAAACGATGACACCAAAGTAATACACCTATATTAAGCAGATTCTTCATTAAATAGGATACCACTAGCCCCTAGGTCCGGATATGGGCATAGAAACCTAATAGGTCAACAGGATCTGCATGCATTCTAGTTTAACTAAACATATATGGGTAGCACCTAGTGAAGTTAGCACCCTTCAATTCCTCCATTGATATATAATAAAGTTGATATAGCTGTATAATTAGAGCTGTAAGCCATATCAAATTATATCTGTAGGTATTATCTATGTTTCCAAACAAATATAGTTTTAGACAGAGTTTTCAGAATGAAATTAAATGAGAATTTTTTCTATCATCATATAATTAAAAATGATAATGCACAAAAAAGTGTATTGGGTAAGATCATGCTGACGTCTGAAACATCTATTTGGAAACAAAGGGAGTAAATTGTAAGGACAATGATACTCCATTTATCAAACACAATTGATGCGAAGAGAACATGTTAATACTAAAAAAAGGTACAGGGACATTATGAACATTAAATTGCAACAGAATGCATTGAAGATTAACGAATTCCTATCCTATAAACAAGAGTCACCTGTCTAAACAAGAAACTGAGCAAAAAATAGCCTTGTAAAGAGATCGCTTAGCAGCTGCTTTCCATGAGAAAGAAAATGAAGCACCCTGAAAATAACTATCATGTGATGAAAAACCTATAGTAACTTCATAAGACTGTAAAGTGAAAAAAAGGATATCCTTTTACCCAACCAAAACTTCTGGAGAGATCATTTCCTGTTCCAAGTGGTATTACAGCAACCGGAGGGACTGGCTCCCTGTTCTGAACGTATAGCTCTCCTAAACATCCCAACACCCAACCTACTGTACCATCGCCTCCTGCAACCTAGGAAGGATGAACTATAATAAGTATTTGGAAGCAACAACTTTCCTAAGGTAGCAATTCAGACTCTGTGTTCAAAATATCTCAAAAGTAGAGTTCTCATTGATAACAAGGAACATTAAAGAGGCAGACCCAGTGCCGGAGGCTCCCACATGAGTGGGGTCTGGGGAAGGGAAAAACCGAGGCAAGCCTTCCCCCCGCAAAATCTGCGGAGAGGCCGCTTCGAACCCGCGACCTGGTGACTCAGTGAGACAGCTCTCACCACTGCACCAGGCCTGCCCTTCATTGATAACAAGGAACATTGACTAACAATAAGATTGGGGATCTCATCTTAGCCTAACCTATACAAAATGAAATAAACTGGAGCACAACCAAAAAGGACTTTTAACTTTGGATCATTGCTGGGGATCTCAACATCATTTACACAATAACACAAAGAAAACAACTATCTAAACAAAAATCAAGGTTAGTTTTCATGAACCCCTCAGTTGGACATGGAGGAAACAATAGTATTTTAGAATGTGAGGAGATATCATAAACCACTCTAGGTCTTTTGTGTTATATGAAACATAAAACAATGTACTTCTTGTCGAGGATCTTTTTAGATGCTTCACACTACTTGTGGTCAAAGTGTCAAACTAGTATCAGAAAATGCAACTCATGAATCTACAAGTACCTTGAAATGCATAAATGTAGAATAGAGAGAATCACCACTCACCCAATGTGGGTGGGAAAACTTTCATATATAGGGCCAATTAGGCACACAACCTGTACAAGGAAGCTATCCTAATGTAAGGAAACTAGGCTATACATAGCAACTAGCCTATCTAGGGGATCTCTCTAATGATCCTGATATATACATATCCTAATAATAAAAAACTAGGAGGAATGCAACTAATATTGTAGTCTTTGAAATGATTGCAGCCACCAAAGTTTTGTACATACCATGACTCGCAGATTATGGCGAACAAACCTCGCACTGTGATCACCAGAGTCAGCAAGTTGTTCCAAACAAGCCAGAGCATATTCCACAAAGTCAGAAGGCTTCACAACAGTAAGATCAAAAACCTGGATTTAGAAAAGCTGTTGTCAATAAGAATGCATTTAGTGCAAAGTCATCTCAAAGTTTCATTAACAGACAGAACAGAGCAACCCCAGATATTAAAGATATGGCATGATGATAAATGTTCCCACCCTTCATCTAAGCACAAGTACAAAAATCTGTGTTTCTGCAACTTCCTGTAACAAAGATAGGAACTAAAAGGCTATGGTTTGCAAATTTAAGTGATTCCTAATTTCAGCAAAGTTCTCTACAAAGGATAACAGCTTCATAAAGGGCTGTATGAAATGAAGTTCCTCATATTCATATGGAATGAACTAACTCCAACAAAATTGACACAGCTATGATAAATTTTTGCATGAAACATCAGGAAATCTCATGTATGTAGCATGTCCATCAGCTGTGAGAACAAACAATTTAAATTTCCTCAGCACAAAAAAACCCTAGGACTTATTAAAAGCAATGCACAGGTGCCTCCCATATATATAAACAGAATGTGCGGATTATATAATAGAAATAATAAGTTTCTTATGCCAACATAAGAAAATCTACCCAATTCCATTTTGGTTGATGGTATATTACAGAAAATTCACTATCTCCATTTTCCCTAATCTCCCTAAACAAAGATTTGATCCCTATCCATGTTGGACTGTTCATCTCTTGCTTGACGTGTCATAGTCAGGTAAAAAGGTGACAATGGATCAGTAGCATTACCCACTTAACCACTGACATGGTTCACATACCCTGGTAGATACTTGTTGCAATTATAGGTTATAAAAAAGACTATCTTTAGTTCTCTCAACTGAATATAGCATGACGCCAATTCAGACTAAATAATATATCTTACAGATTATCACAAAAGCACAACTGTATCCATGGATTTTGAATTGGCAGCAGCATATCTATAGGTGCAGATGCGTAGAACCAAGGAACTTGTCCTTTAAACAACTTTATTCCCTCTGCTTGGGAATCCTGATGTATTCATTAAGACGATACTCGTGAATCAGGTACCGATTTGAGCACAGAAAGTGTTAACTGCTACCAATAGTCCTTGCAAGAACAGCTGCCATCTTTGAACAAATGGAAGCGTGTTCTATCTCTAACAATAATTTCTCTCCCATATACTTTGGATATTAGTTTGGTGACATGATGGCAATCATGGCAAACTCTGAGGTTCTTGAATATCCGAATAGGCATATTGTCACTCATACTAATCAAAGCAAATGCAATTGCCAGCTTCTCACTATGCCGGCTAAGAGCACCCTCCTTCTCTTCTTCTTCAATGTCAAGCAAAACTTCCTTCTTGTCTGGGATGTAACCCTCCTCCAATCTAATCCTAGTATCAATCTCATGCCATTTTGACAAAATATCTTTTATGCGAGGATGAGAGAGATCTCCAACAATGAATTGATGAATAACTCCTTTAACCTCCACAGTGCTACAACCAGGTGTCTTGTCAACTCCCTTTTCACGCATTAGGTGCCTAATTTCCCTAGCGGAAGCATGCCTACCTGATGCAGCATAAATGTTAGCTAGAAGTACATAAGCACCACTTTTGTCAGGTTCCAACAAGATCCAATGCCTGACAACATACTCAGCCAACTCCACATTCTTGTGAAATCTACAACCAGACATCAGAGCTCCCCAGATCAAGGCATCAGGTTTCATGGGCATTTTCTGAATCATCTCTTTGGCCTCATCAAGAAAGCCATTTCGTGCCAGGAGGTCTACCATGCATCCGTAGTGCTCAATCTTTGGTTTGATGACATACTTTCGCACCATGGAATCAAAAAGCTCTCGGCCCTTGTCAACCAACCCTGCATGTGTGCACGCACACAACACACCAATGAAGGCAATGTCATCCGGCCTGATACCTGAGCTCTCCATCTGAGTGAAGAGCATTAATGCCTCTGATCCTTGTCCATGCATTGCCAGGCCTTTTATCATAGTAGTCCAAGCCAGCACATTCTTGTCCTCCATTCTTTGAAACACCTCCATTGCAAGCTGCACCTCACCACACTTGGAATACATATCAACCAGAGCAGTGCCAAAAAATACGGTGATCCTAATGCCATGAGCCTTCAGGTAACCATGCACCCACTTCCCCTGCTCCAGTGCCCCGTGCTGCGCACAAGCTGCGAGCACCCCCACGAGCACTGTGTCATCCGGGCGGACATCATCAGCCTGCATCTGCGCGAATATCCGCAGTGCTTCCCTCCCATCACCAGCCTGGACATACCCATTCACCATGGCGCTCCAAGACACAGCATTCCTCGCAGGCATTTCGTCAAACAGAGCCCGGGAGTCGGCGACCCGGCCCGCCCTCGCGTAGGCTGTGATGAGAGTGTTGAACGTGGAGGCGTCCACTGCAGCGGCCGTCCGCAGGAGCAGAAGCCCGTCGGCGAGGCGCCCGAGGAAGCCCGCATGGACGCGGATAAGCGCGTTGCTGACGAGGACGAACCGCTCGAGGCCGAGCTTGACGGCGTGGGCGTGCACGGTGAGTGCCAGCACCGCCGCGCCCGGGGCTGCCGGGGACAGCGCCATCGACTTGAGGAGGGAAGGGAGGGTGTGCGGGGTGGGAAGGAGACCGGCGCGGAGGAGGTGGGCGTAGAGCGGGAGCGCGAGGTGCGGGCGCGCGGAGCGGGAGAGGGCCCGGACGAGCGCGTCGTGGAGCTCCACACTCCGCCGGAGCTGCCCGGAGGTGACCAGCGCCGCCTGGATCCGCGCAATCGCCCGCGCTTCGCCGCATCGCGACAGCAGGTCCACGTAGCCCGCGACGCCGACCATCTAATGACGTCACGGGCAACCGCACAGGTCCACGTAGCCCGCACAACAAAGATATGGAGAGAGAGAGAGAGAGGAGTGGCGTTTTGACCTGGTCTTCGCCGATGAGCTCCTGGAGGCGGGTCTTAACGACAGGCCCCAGGCGGCCGCCACTGCGCGGGTTGACAAAAGCAACGAGCGGCGACTCGGGCGCGTCGTCGTACACCGCGGCGTCGAACCACCGGTTGCCCGCGCCACGCCCCTCGCCGTCACCGTCGCGGTCGACGAGCGCGAATGCCCCCGCCGTGGGGTCCCTGGCGCGCATCGCGGCGTGCACAGCAGCGCGGAGGCGCTGCGGGAACGCGGCCCGCTCCCTGAGATCCTCCTTCTCGAACGCGGACGCGGCGGCGCGGCCGAAGCCGCACCCGCGGAACGAGAGCGATTCGATGAGCGCCCCCACCAGCGGCGCAGCCGGTGGGGGAGGGGAGCGGGGCGGCTCCGGCCGCTCCGAGGGCGTCGGCGACGCTGCCGCAGACGAGAACGACGACGACATGGACAGCGCGACGTCGGACCACGACCGCGACCGCGGCCGCGGCCGCGATCGCGCAGTGGTGGAGGTGACGGAAGACGCCGTGGCAAGCGGGGAGGGGAGCGCGCGGTGAGGCGGTTGGAGCGGAGGGGAGGGAGGAGGAATGGGACAGTTTTGTATGGCTGGTTTTTCCCGCGAGGAAGCAGGGAGGGGAGGCACGAGGCAGAGCCGGTCGTCACGTCAGCTTGCACAGGCAGAAAACCTAGGCCCTGTTTAGTGACACTTCGTCAATTTTTTTAAGGTTCTCCCTCATTCCGTCGTTCAGCTTAGCACGAATCTTTAAAAGGCGAAAATGCCATGCCACTTAAGTTCAAATATGTTATTAATTTTTTGAGCATCTTAGCGACTTCAAATGATTAAATATAAATAAAAATAAAAAAATTATTTTCATTTAATAATTATACAGTTTTTTTTGCGAAATCCACGAGACAAATCTTTTAAGCCTAATTAGACTATGATTGGACACTAATTGCCAAATAACAACGAAAATACTACAGTGCTCATTTTGCAAAAAAATTTGCATCTAAACTGAGCCCTAGCATGAATGAACTAGTAAAATTATCGTGCGTTACAAGATGAGCAATTTGTTTCTTACAAAAAAAAGTTTTAACAGTGTCCTACAGGTCCGTCCGGTTACTCCATTTAGTATTACATTAAATTAGAGGTTATACAAAAAAAACCTTAATCAAACATGGCAATGCAATCTGAAGTCGTTTGATTTGCTAGCAACTCACTCTTATCGTCTGCAGTTCATGTTATTGGCTAGGCAAGGCATAGATGCAATTCTATGAATGAATTGGTTGAGAAGTTACGGGGTAGTCCTAAACCTGAGACAGAGAGTTGTTAAGTTGAAGTTTCCTTCTTCTGAGGATAGAATGTCTCTCTTTATGTCCTCAGTTTCTACCCTACCAGTTATTGTTCATACTGAAGCCACTCCTGATCTTGCCTCTATTCCTGTGGTTTGTGAGTTTTCGGATGTCTTTCTAGAAGATTTACCTAGGTTACCACCGGATCGGGAGGTTGAGTTTGCAATTGAGTTAGAACCTGGTATTGCTCCTATTTCACGGCATCCTTACCGCATGGCTCCAAAGAAAGTGACAGAAATGAAGCAGCAGCTAGAGGAATTGTTGGAGAAGGGATTTATCCGTCCAAGTTCTTCACCATAAGGTTATCTAGCTATTTTTCGTGAAGAAGAAGGACGGTACTCTTTGGATGTATGTGGATTATCGCCCTCTCAATGCAGTAACCATTAAGAACAAGTATCCTTTACCTTGTATTGATACTTTGTTCGATCAGTTGGCTGGTGCAAAAGTGTTTTCAAAGATTGATCTTCGTTCTGGATATCACCAAATTAAGATCCAACCACAAGATATACCAAAGACAGCTTTCTCTACTAGGTATGGGCTTTATGAATACCTAGTCATGTCTTTTGGTCTCACCAATGCTTCTGCATTCTTTATGTACCTTATGAACTCAGTCTTTATGATGGAGTTGGACAAGTTTGTAGTGGTGTTCATTGATGACATATTGATATATTCTAAGAACAATGAAGAGCATGCACAACATCTTCAAATAGTACTGACTCGGTTAAGGGAACACAAGCTGTATGCCAAATTTAGCAAGTGTGAGTTTTGGTTAGATTGAGTGCAATTTTTGGGATATGTCCTAACACCTAAAGGCATCTCTGTGGATCCTGGCAAGGTGCAGGATGTGTTAAATTAGAAATCTTCAAAGTCAGTGCATCAGATTCGTCAGTTCTTGGTCTTGCTGGGTATTATCGGCCCTTCGTCCCTGATTTTTCCAAAATAGCTCAACCAATTACCAAGTTACTCCAGAAGGATATCAAGTTTGTACGGAGTCCGGCTTGTGAAGAAGCTTTCTAAGCCCTGAAGAAGTTTTTTACCTCTGCTCCTGTTCTTGCCCAACTAGATATTGATAGGCCATTTGATGTGTATTATGATTCCTCTAGACTGGACTAGGATGTGTGGTTATGCAAGGTGGACGTGTGATCGCTTATGCTTCACGCCAGCTGAAAAAGCATAAGTTGAATTATCCCACCTATGATTTAGAGTTGGTCGCAGTTGTGCACGCTCTAAAAATTTGGAGTCATTACATGTTGGGAAATAAAGTACACATTTTTACAGATCACAAGAGTCTCAAATATATTTTTACTCAATCCGAGTTGAATATGAGGCAATGGAGGTGGCTTGAGTTAATCAAAGATTATAACTTAGAAGTTCATTATGACCCTGGAAAAGCTAATGTGGTAGCTGATGCCTGAAGTCGGAAGTCGCATCAAGTTGAAGAAGAATCTTTGTCTCTCAACCCTTCTGAGGTGTTAACCCATATTGCTATAGTCTCGAATCTACTTGAGCAAATCATTATAGAGCAAAGGCAAGATGTTTCAGAAATTTCGCATATCAAGAAGTTAATTGTCGAAGGATGTGGTCCTCATTTCAGTGTTGATGATCTAGGTGTGGTGAAATTCAAGAATCGATTGGTGGTTCCCTCAAGTGATGAGCTTAGGAGAAAAATTTTGGATGAAGCTCACAACTCCAAATTATCCATTCATTCGTGAAGTAACAAGATGTATCAAGATTTATGTCACTTGTATTGGTGGCCAAATATGAAACAGGATATTACCAAATACATCTCAGAATGTGACATTTGTGGAAGGGTTAAGGCAGACCATATGCGTACGTCTGGATTTCTACAACCCTTGCCTATCCCAATTTGGAAATGGAAGGATATTTTCATGGACTTTGTTGTGGGTTTACCCTGCACAGCAAAGGGGTATGACTCTATTTGGGTCATTGTGGATCGCCTTACCAAGTCTGCTCATTTTCTCCCGGTGGATACAAGGTATTTAGCCAAGTTGTATTTTGATCGGGTTGTGACCCTACGTGGAGTTCCTCTTACTATTATTTCCGATAGAGGGTCAGTCTTTGTCTCTCGTTTTTAGGAGCAACTCTAGAAATGCCTTGGTACCAATCTCCTCAGGAGTTTAGCTTATCACCCGCAAACTGACGGTCAGACAGAAAGAGTCAATTAGGTACTTGAGGATATGTTGAGGGCTTGTGTCATCTCTTTTCTAGAAAAGTGGGACGAATGCTTGACTCTAGCTGAGTTTTCTTATAACAATAGCTATCAAGAAAGCATTTGTATGGCACCTTTTGAGGCCCTGTATGGCAACAAATGTAGAACACATTTTAACTGGGTTGAAGTGGGTGATCATGGTTATTTTGGACCTGATTTTATCAAAAAAGCTCGAGAGCAAGTTAGTGTTATTCAAAGTCATTTGAAGGCAGCTCAGAATCGTCAGAAAACTTATACTGACAAGCGAAGAAGACCCTTGTAGTTTGAAGTTGGTGACCATGTGTACCTAAAGGTATCCCCGATGAGAGGTGTGCATCAGTTTGGAGTCCGTGGAAAGTTACCTCCTCATTATGTCAGACCTTATAAGATTTTGGAGCGGTGTGGTGTGGTTGCTTATCATCTCCAACTTCCGGATATTTTGTCAGCAGTATATAATGTCTTTCATATTTCTTAATTAAAGAAGTGTTTACGAGTTCCTGAGGAAGTGGTGGAAATGGAAGGACTCCCTCTTCAACCTAATCTGTCTTATATTGAGCATCCTATCAAAATCTTGGATGAAAAAGAGAGAGTCACTAGGAACAAAATAGTAAAGTTTTATAAAGTTTAGTAGCAAAATCACTTGAAGGATGAAGCAATGTGGGAGCAAGAAAGCTATATCTTGAAGCAATATCCCCACCTTCTTTCTAGTTCACCGAGGTAATTGTTTAAATTGGAATTTATTCTTATCTCTTTTCCTACACTAGGCACTCACATGAAATCTCGGGGCGAGGTTTTGTTTAAGGGGGGTAGAGCTATAACACTAAAAGGATCAAGATGTCCAAGAGGGGGGGTGAATTGGGCTAATTCTAAATTTCTTTGCAATAATTAAGTCATACGGTTAGCCCAATTAACGCATTGTGCCTAAAAAGTGTTCCTAGTTGTTCTACCACACAAATTACTTGCAACCTAAGTTCCAATCCTACTCTAGTATGACAATTCTATGAATTGTAAAGACAAGAATTAAATTGCTCAATGTAAATACTCAAAGTAATTACTCAAAGGAAATACTCAAAGTAAATGCTCAAAGTAAATAGAGAATGAGGAATGCGACGATGTTTTGCCGAGGTATCGGAGAGTCGCCACTCCCCACTAGTCCTCGTTGGAGCACCCGCGCAAGGGTGTAGCTCCCCCTTGATCCTTGCAAGGATCAAGTGCTCTCTATGGGTTGATTCTTCGACACTCCGTCGCGGTGAATCACCCACAACCGCTCATAACTTGAGTTGGGTCATCCACAAGCTCTCCGGATGATCACCAAGCTCTCCAATCACCACCAAGCCGTCTAGGTGATGGCGATCACCAAGAGTAACAAGCACGAACTCTCACTTGACCATGACAAAGCCTAGGGAGATGGGTGGATGCACACTTTGCTACTCTTGATCTCACTAATGAGGGCTCTCTTTGGGATTCTCAAATCTCAATCACCTCACTAGGACCTTGCTCTTCTTGGCACTCTCTAAGGTGTGTTTCAACTATTGGAATGAGCAAAAGTGACTCCACACACGAGTGGAGCTTCTATTTATAACATGGGCTGAAAAACAAAACGTTATGTGCCTCTGCGGGGTGATCGGACGCTCCGATCATGTTGACCGGATGCTCCGGTCAGTACACCCCGAACTCTAGTGTTTATAGTGTGATCAGACGCTGCCAGCGTCCGGTCAGCACTGACTAGACGCGTCCGGTCACGATTTTCCCTCTCTGAAACCTTACTAGAAACAACCGGACGCTAGACCTCAGCGTCCGGTCACATGACCTTCCAGCGTCCGGTCACACCGAACAATTTCACCTCGGTCAAATGAACTGACCGGACCCTGCGCCAGCGTTCGGTCAAA